TTTTTTTTTGCAGTTTTTGGCTGGGGCTGGGTTTGAACCCGCCACCTCCGGCATATGGGGCCAGTGCCCTACTCCTTTGAGCCACAGGCACTGCCCGTGATTCTTGAATAATTCTAGTAATTAGTGATTTTACTTAGGCAGATGTCACTTTTTTATTTTATTTATTTATTTATTTTTCTTTTCAGTTTTTTTTTTGGCTGGGACTGGGTTTGAACCTACCACCTCCAGCATAGGGGGCTGGTGCCCTATTCCTTGAGCCACACTCGCCACTCCTTATTTATTTGTTTTGAGACAGAGTCTCACTGTGTCACCCTCAGTAGAGTGTGGTAGCATCATAGCTCACAGCAACCTCTAACTCTTGGGCTCAAGCAATTCTCTTGCCTCAGCCTCCTCAGTAGCTGGGACTACAGGCACTCGCCACAGTGCCTGGCTATTTTTAGAGGAGGGGTCTTGCTCTGACTCAGGCTGGTCTTGCACCTGTGATCTTAGGCAGTCTACCCGCCTTGGCCTCTCAGAGTGCTGGGATTGCAGGTGTGAGCCACCACACCTGGGCCCAGATACCACTTTCTTGCAAAAATGAATGCTGAGAAAACTAAAAGGAAACTAGGCCAGAAGATTCACCTCTTTTGCTCTATGAGTAAGATAGTTATGGACAATTGTGTGGCTCTTTACCTCTGCTGTTTCTGCTCTCCCCTAGATCGGATTCAGCCTAGACCGTACAAAGAATGATGGCTTTTCTTCCTACCTGGTAAGTGTTAAATGAATGACCTGATCACTGTCTTCACTTGAGCCTAAGCCATTGAGTGGGAACATCCTACTTCCTGCAATGCCACTTTCTTGAGGTGGTGGCTGCTTTGAAGTACAGGTGTTTCTGAGCACCCACAGTTGGTTTACTGTTTGGAATGGAGGTTGAGCTGCTCATTTGCCTAGTTCCCTGAACCTTTTCTGTTTTTGTTCTCATGTGAGGGAGTCATATGATATACAATTGGTTACTCTTTTCTCAGGATGAAGATGTGAATTACTGTATTTTAAAGAAACAGTTTGCCTCTGTCACACTTCTAATCCTAGACATCTCCAGAAGTGAGTAAGTAATTCTAATGTTCTTTCAGTTCAGTCCCAGAGTAGAGTTGAGGAGTATTTATTGTACAATAACATCCCTTGGGTGCCTGCCATGTGCCAAAGACTATACATGTGTTAGAGATCTAAAAACCAGGTGAGGGAGACTGGTTCCATCTTGGTGGAGTTTGTATAGGTGAGTGGAGAGATAGAACAGCAATATAAATGATCACAGCCAGTTAGAGAAATGGGGAAGAAAATCTCAAGAATTACAGAACAGAAGGAAAAGCCTCAAGTGTTGACATAAGCAGCCTTCTAGGGCTTTTACCAATGAATAAGGAAGGAAAGAGCATTGTAGGCAGAGGGCGTAGTCTGTGCAAAGGCCAAGTGGCATGAAGTGGCATGATTGGTTCAGTCAGCTGGGTTCATTACTGACAGAGAGGGGAACATGGTAAGAAACAGGGCTAGATTCAAGTAATGGTTTTCGCTACTCACTAGCTGTGTGACTCTGAGCCTCAATGTCCTTACCTACCTCACAATGGTAGCCTCTACCTCATAAGATAGTTGGTAAGGATTTTTGTGGCTTGTAAATACATAATATTGTGTGTAATATCTAAGGGAACCTGACAGGTTTTTTTTGTTTGTTTTGTTTTGTTTTGAGACAGTGTGTCACTTAGGGCCATGGCATCATAGTTCACAGCAACCTCCAACTCTTTTTTTTTTTTTTTTTTTTTTGAGACAGAGCCTCAAGCTGTCACCCTGGGTAGAGTGCCATGGAATCATCATGCCGAGCCGCAACCTCCAACTCTTGGAGTCAAGTGATTCTCTTGCCTCAGCCTCCCAAGTAGCTGGGACTACAGGCGCCCGCCACAACGCCCGGCTATTTTTTGGTTGCAGCCATCATTGTTGTTTGGCGGGTCCGGGCTGGGGATTCGAACCCGCCACCTTAGGTGTACGTGGCTGGCGCCTTAGCCGGTTGAGCTATAGGCGCCGAGCCGCAACCTCCAACTCTTGGAGTCAAGTGATTCTCTTGCCTCAGCCTCCCAAGTAGCTGGGACTACGGGTGCCTGCCACAATGACTGCCTATTTTTAGAGACGAGGTCTCACTCCAGTTCAGGCATGTCTCAAACCTGTGAGCTCAGGCAATCCGCCCACCTGGGCCTCCCAGAGTGCTAGGATTACAGTCATGAGCCACTGCTCCCAACCCCTGATAGGTTTTAAACTAGGAATTGTGGGCTCGGACTACTTTTAAGGTAGACCAATAGTGGCCCAGAAGAGGATAGATTTGAAATGAGTAAGATTGGAGGTAGGAAGATGAATGAAGAAGTATCTAAAGAAAAAAAAAATACTTTGCCATAAAACTGTAGTAGATTCTAACTTTATATTGTTTTTGATAACCTCACAGCAACCTCCAACTCCTGGGCTTAGGCAATTCTCCTGCCTCAGCCTCCCGAGTAGCGCTGGCCACAATGCCCGGCTATTTTTCTTTTTGTTTGTTTGTTTGCAGTTTGGCCAGGGCCAGGTTCAAACCCGCCATGCTCAGTATATGGGGCCGGTGCCCTACCCACTGAGCCACAGGCACTGCCTAGCCTTTTATTTAGGAAAATTAATCTGACAATGTCTCATGTGAAAATGCTTTTTGGCATCAAGCAACAAAAGACTTAACTTAGACTGGCTTAAACAGTGAAGATATTGATGACCTCACCTATTTGAGGTGGGGTAGGAGGGCTCCAGGTAAGAAGCCCCTGGCAGTGGCTTACTACTGTGAAGGACTCAGGTACCTTTGTCTCTCTGCTGTACGATCATCTGTATTAGCTTCTTCCTCAGGCAGGTTGCACCAGCCAGCACCAGCCAGCACCAGATGGCTCTGTTTCCCATAGTTAGAATGATTCATGCCTCTGTGTGTGAATTTAGGTCACATGCTCACTCAGCCACGAACACTATCCCTGGCCCCTTCTGGGGTGAGATAGGGTAACAAAATTCAGTCTGTTAAGGGGAAAGAGGGTGGGGTGCCATGGCTCATGCCTGTAATCCTAGCACTCTGGGAGGCTGAGGCAGATGGTGCTTGAGTTCATGAGTTCAAGACCAGCCTAAGCAAAAAGGGAGACCCTGTCTCTATAAAATAGCCAGGATTTGTCCCAGCTACTGGAGAGGCTGAGGCAGGAGGATCATTTGAGCCCAAGAATTGGAGGTTGCTGTGAGCTCTGTTGCCATGGCATTCTACTCAGGGCAACAGCTTGAGACTCTGTCTCAAAAAAAAAAAAAAAATGGAAAGGGCATAGTGGCTTACACCTGTAATCCCAGCACTCTGGAAAGCTGAGGTGGGTGGATCATTTGAGCTCAGAAGTATGAGACCAGCCTGAGCAAGAGCAAGACCCCCATCCCTACTAAAAATAGAAAAATTATCCAGGTGTAGTGGTGGGCACCTGTAGTCCCAGCTACTGGAGAGGCTGAGGCAGGAGAATCGATCAAGCCCAAGAGTTTGAGGTTGCTGTGAGCTATGATGCCGTGGCACTCTACTCAGGGGTACAGAGTGAGACTCTGTCTCAGAATAAAAGGTTGGGGGAGGCAGAAAGGAATGGAGCAGACAACTGATGGGCTCATGCTCTTCTTATGCTCCCCTAGACTTCACTTTAATGTCTTCTTGGTTTCTGTGGTTTCTGGTTCCTTTTCCCTTATGTGTCAATTTGCTGAGTGTTTTACAGATACTTAGGGGAAAATGCATTTAGCACAATTGAGTGATTGCTGGGAACGGAGGCTTTAGAGACTGCCTGGCTCCTCTACCAGCTACTTCCTCACTTGGTGCCCTTGGGCAAGATTTTACCTTTTCTGGGCCTCAGTTTCAGCATCTGTAAAATGTAGATAACAGAATCTACACTGTAGGCTCAGCGCCTGTGGCTCAAGCGGCTAAGGCGCCAGCCACATACACCCAAGGTGGTGGGTTCGAATCCCCAGCCCAGGCCCGCCAAACAACAATGATGGCTGCAACCAAAAAAATGGCCGGGCGTTGTGGCGGGCATCTGTAGTCCCAGCTATGTGGGAGACTGAGGCAGGAGACTCGTTTGAGCCCAGGAGTTGGAGGTTGCTGTGAGCTGTGGTACCATGGCACTCTACCCAGGGGGATAGCTTGAGGCTGTCTCAAAAAAAAAAAAAAAGAATCTACACTGTAGACTAGTGAGCTTGACATAACACCTTGCATGTAACACTTAATACATGGTAAATGGCCAAGAGCACTGCTTTTGAACTTTTTTCTTCTATGTTATTTGAATGCAGAGTAAGAATAAGGTCTCCACCGGAAGCTGGTACCCAGTTACCAACGATCATCTTCAACAAGGATGAGAAGGTCATTGGGCCGAACCAGGAGCCTGATGTTATTTCTGTTTCATCAGGCAACCAGACGCAGAAAAAGCAAGGTAAACCATAAGGTGGAAGCTAGCATTTATTTAGTTTCGTACCTTGTTTTGAAGATCTCTTTTTGTTCATAAATTAAAAACAGACATGATCTGTTATTTTCCTTAGCATTATTTTATTTTGGAGGTTATTTTAAAATGTGTAAATATTAAAGAAAAATATGGAAAATATAGAGAAGATGGGAAAAGAATGGTCATTTCTTCTTTTTTTTTTTTTTGAGACAGAATCTCACTATGTCACCCTCAGTAGAGTGCTGTGGCATCACAGCAGCCTCAAACTCTTGGGCTTAAGGGTTTCTCTTGCCTCAGCCTCCCAAGTAGCTAGGACTACAGGTGCCACCACTACACCCAGCTTTTTTGTTTTTGCAGTTGTCATTGTTGTTTAGCTGGCCCAGGCTGAGTTGGAACCTGCCAGCCTGGGTGTTTGTGGCTGGCGCCCTACCCACTGACCTATGGGTGCCGCCAGTCATTTCTTTTTATTCCCAACTTTAGAAGTGTGGTAATCCATGTTATCTTATGAGCTTATTTCAAGAGTCAAGTCAAGAATATTTGATTTCTAAAGTTCAGAGTCATGTTTATAATTTTGTATGCATGCCTGTTTACTTTATAATCTATTTCAAACCCGTCACATATCCCGTTAAGTGACTAATGTAACTTGTTCAGCCTCTCCCCTTAGGGAGACACATTCTCATTTTTATGGTGTTATGAACATGCTGCATTGGATATGTTTATGCATAGAGTTTTTTCATATAAAGAACTTATCGTGGGATGGGATCCCACCATTAGAATTTCTGGTTCACAGGATGTTAATGCTTTTGATAATATTGATACATAGAGTATTTTCAAATTCCTTTCCAAATGAGTTATGTGAATTTATAATGCCATCATAAATATATAGGAGTAGCGTGCACATTAGCACATCCTAGTCAATACTATGTATTTTCTTTTCTAAAAAAAATCCTGGGCTGCACTTGTGCCTCAGTGAGTAGGGCACCGGCCCCATATACGGAGGGTGGTGGGTTTGAACCCAGCCCCGTCCAAACTGCAACAAAAAAATAACCAGATGTTATGGTTATTAACATTGTGGTGGGCACCTGTAGTCCCAGGAGGGGAGGCTGAGGCAAGAGAATCAGTGCTGAGGTTGCTGTGAGCTGTGATGCCAGGGTACTCTACCAAGGGTGACAAAATGAGACTCTGTCTCTAAAAAAAAAAATCCTAAAATGAAAAGCAAAAAAGGTATTCCTGTTCTTATATTTATTATTACTGAGGCTCTACTTTTTCTCTATATTAATCAATTTTTATTTATGATCTCTTTTATTAACTGAGGTTCATCTAGTGATTTATATGTGGTTCTTTGAGGGTAAATTATGGCTTATTGTGTTACTTATACAGTTTTTTCATTCATAAATATTAATATTACATTTGTGTGATGCACAGTTTAATGTCTGTGTATCACTTCCTTATCTAGGTCCCTTGTACTCTCATAACTGCTTCCTGGGCAGAAAATAGTCTTTTCTTTCTTTTTGTTCTGAAACTCTGTCCTGCAGGGAGCTTGAAATCCTGTGACCTTTGTGAAGAGTATCTTATGTAAAAAAATAAGGCATCAATGCCCACTGTGTCTTGTTTGTAATCTTAACACTTCTTATTGTGGCTAAAGTAAATATGCATCATGCTAATATTTGCTATTAATTTTTCATGTGTGCAAATCTCACACATTGTATGTTTGTTTTTTTTTTTTTTGAGACAGAGCCTCAAGCTGTCTCCCTGGGTAGAGTGCTGTGGCATTACAGCTCACAGCAACCTCCAACTCCTGGGCTCAAGCGAATCTCCTGCCTCCGCCTCCCAAGTAGCTGGGACCACAGGCGCCTGCCACAACGCCCGGCTATTTTTTATTTGCAGCCATTATTGTTGTTTTAGCGGGCCCGGGCTGGATTTGAACCCACCACCTTAGGTGTATGTGGCTGGCGCCTTAGCCACTTGACCCACAGGCGCTGAGCCAACATTGTATGTTTTTGGAGAAATTATTTGTTTTTAAATGTGACCACTTAGAAAATAAGGAAAACCATTCCATGTGGCAACTCTGATAATAACATATACTAGATTATGCAGAAATGGGTTTTGCTGTTGGTACTAATTATTATTTACTATATCACATACAGTATATTAAGTTCTGATTTGCTGGTTCTGCTGCTCAAAACTTATGTTTTGGGACCTGAGAAAATGTCAGTCCATAAGATTTTTTGTTGGTTTTAATGATTTGATATTAGATATTGATTATTTGATATTAGATAAGCTGGAGCCTCATAAAATGATCCTGTTTTTATATATGTACATATAAAACAGTACACATATAAGGGGGGGTGTGTGTGCATATATATATATTTGATTATGCAAAAATATCTTAAATGTTTCTCCTCCTAGACAGTGGAAACTCTAAAAGAAGTACAGTGGATTCAAAGGTAAGAACTAACCACTCACTTGTGCTCAGCATTTCTTTCTTTTTTTTTTTTTTTTTTGCAGTTTTTGGCTAGGGCTGGGTTTGAACCCGTCACCTCCAGTATGTGGAGCCAGCACCCTACTCCTTTGAGCCACAGGCGCCACCCTGTGCTCAGCATTTCTGATGTACATATATATTTATGTTATGTGTATTTTTATATACTGATATATGCATGCTCATACACATACAGTCACACCTTGGTGCCCAGGGGAGGATTTGTTCTCAGACCCCTTCCCATTCTTGTGGATTCTGACATCAGCAGGTGCTCCAGTCCCTTTTATAAAGTGGTATAGTAGCGTATAACCTACACAAATTCTTCTGTTTAAATCAGGGGTCCTCAAACTTTTTAAACAGGGGGGCAGTTCATTGTCCCTCAGACTGTTGGAGGGCAGGACTGCGGGGCCCAGGACGAGTCGGCTGCTAAGCAGGACAGGCAGCGGCAGCAAAAACACCCGGCGGGCCCAATAAATGTCCTAGGCCGGTTGCATGTGGCCTGCGGACCGTAGTTTGAGGATGCCTGCTTTAAATCATCTCTAGATAACTTCTATTTAAAACAATGTAAATACTATGTAAATAGTTGTTAGACTCTGTTACTTTTTATGTACTATTATTTATTTAAAAAATATTTTTGATCCATAGTTGGTTCAATCAGCAGGTACACAACCCTCAATACAGAAGGCCAACTGTGTGTGTACAGACCTGATCTACAGGGAATTGTGGTCTGTTTAGGAAGATAGTGTTGGCGTACTGAAACAATTTCAGAGGAAAATTGAGTATGGACTTGTAAGTGCTAGAGAGTCAGGTTGTTATGGGAGGAGCAAGGTGTCACCAGAGCTGAGCTTGGAGTTTGTCCAAGGAAGAGAAGAAAGGAGATGAATATCATAAGCCAAGACTAGACAGTGGCAATGTGCATGATAAATGCCAGCAGAGGCCTATTTGAAGTCAAAGGTACATGTTTGGGAGCACAGAGATAGGCATCTTAGATAATATAGAGCCAGGCGATACCAGGAATTGATGCGCAGGCAATAGGAAGTTATCCTGAGTTCTTGATCAGGAAAGAATGTGACAGCCTGGAAGGCTGAGGCAGGTGGATCGACTGATCTCACAGGTTCGAGACCAGCCTGAGCCAGAGCAAGACCTCATCTCTTAAAAAAAAAAAAAAATAGCATTTATTGAAGAGCATCATTCTGAAAGTAATATGCAGGGTAGCCTTGGAGAGGTGGACAGTGGCATTAGAGGGACCCCAGGACAGTATTGTGGTAACACAGGTTAGGTGACCAAGATCTGCTCTAGTACCAGGCTAGATGTATTGGGATGTAAAACAAAGGACCCCTCTGGAGGCCAGTTAGGCTGGTGGGAGGGGAGAGAGGAAGAGTGGAGAAGGTGGTAGAAGTACAGAAGTGGGGAGATTGGGAAAGTTTTGGTTTGCAGTATCTTGATTTTTCAGTGCGGGGGCACCCAAATAACAGGATTTTGTTTTGTTTTAACAGCTTTGTTGAGATATAACTGACATACAATGAACTTTGCATATTTGAATAGACAGTTTGGTATTTAATAATGAATGTGTTTATTACCCTAAAAGTTTCTCCTGCCCTTTTGTAATCCTCCCGTCCCCAAGCGACTTCTGTCATGATAGTATAGATTAATTTTATAGAACTTTGTATAAATGGATTATGCAGTGTTCTTTATTCTTTTATTCAGCATAATTACTTTGAGTTCATCCATAATGCTGTATGTATTAATAGTTTGTTTCTTTTCATTGCTTAGTATTAGTCCATTGTATGAAGAGCAATATTTTAATGATTCGAAGTGAGGAATACATTCAGATGATGTCAGAGTGTGGCCTGGGCTAGCATCTTTGGTCTAGCCAAAGCTTCAAGAGCAGAGAACACTCTAGCAGAAAGATTTGGGGCAAAGGATTGAAGGTAGAATATTATGGAGGGGCAGAAGAGGCAGCTGAGGAAAGGAAATAGGTAAAGAAATATCACTCTCTGTGAAAGGGATTTCAGATATCTTGAAAGGATACTGGATTTTATTTTCAAAGAACTTTTGAAGGTTAGCAAATTTAGGGTTTAAGAAGAATGGTTGTTTTGGTTTGTAAATTAGTTTAATTTTAATTAACATACCACATTTTGCCATGTATTATAATGCAGACTTTTTTGCCCAGTCTCCTTGAGGGAAAAATAAGGATGCACATTATACATGAGTAGTACTGTTTGTTACCAGTACATAAAATTTCTTTTTATTTATTTACTTATTTTGGAGACAGAGTCTCACTTTGTCACTGTTGGTAGAGTGCTGTGGCATCACAGCTCTTGGCCACTTCCAACTCTTGGGCTCAAGTGATTCTCTTGCCTCAGCCTCCCAACTAGCTGGGACCACAAGTAAAGTTTCTTGTACTTTGTATCTATTGGGTTTTATAATTATTTGATATGTAACATTTCTTGTTATATGTTTTAAAAAATGCTAAAATTCCTTTACTATGCAAAAAACAAGTACCTAAATGTGTGTAAACAAAGATTTGAATTAAAAAATTAAAATAGAAGATTTTTTTCCCTGAAAGTTTGGGTCAACAACATTGGCCGCATTATGCACAGGAATGCATTATACATGGCATGATATGGTGCTCTTTTTTTTACCAGCATCACCCTTAAACAGATTGTTATGTCATTATAGGCAATGAGGGAGAAATCCTTTTCTGTTCATAAAAATGATGGAGCAGTTTCATTTCAGGTATGTGTTTTCTTTCAGTAAAGCTTCATAGAGTTTATCTCTATCATGTAAATGGATAATTTTTAAAAGGAATTTTGAGACTGGGTGTGGTGGCTCACGCCTGTTACCCTGGAACTCTGGGAGGCTGAGGCAGGTGGATTGCCTGAGCTCACAGGTTCGAGACCAGCCTGAGCCAGGGCAAGACCTCATCTCTTTAAAATAAATAAATAAATAAATAAAAATAAAAGCCAGGCATTGTGGTAGGCACCTATAGTTCCAGCTACTTGAGAGGCTGAAGCAAGAGAATTGCTTGAGCCCAAGAGTTGCAGGTTGCTATGAGCTGTGAGGCCCCGGCACTCTATGGAGAGTGGTAAAGTGAGATTCTGTCTCAAAAAATAAATAAAAGGAATTTTTGAATTTAGGAATAATAACTTAGGTGTGCCGTGTATTTGTCACTTGAATGCTGGGACGATAACAAACCTACAAGGTGATGTTCTTATGCTTCCACTTACCAAATCATAAGTCTCTGAGAATGAATAATTTTGTGAATGTCCAGTATAAGTGACAAGGGCAAGGTTCCAACTCAGTTCTGCCAGGCTGTTCCCATGACCTCTCTGCCTCTTTGAGCCCATGTTGCCTTCCATTTAGTGTGCCAGAAGCATACCATTCTATACCAGAAAAGACTCTTGGTGATGATTGAGAGTTATGTTATTTTAGAGATGAGTTCACTGAGACTCAGAGTTTGAATGAGCTGCTCAGCTGTCTCATTAATTGCACATGAGTGTTTTTTGGCAGCATCACTACACACACACACACATATATGTACACACACACACATATATGTACACACACACACATACACACGAGATACTGCACTGGGTCTCAGAACCCATTTACTAGCTGGGTGATTTTGCATAACTTCCTTAATTTCTTTCTTTCTTTCTTTCTTTTTTTTTTTTTTTTTTTGAGCTGGAGCCTCAAGCTATCCCCCTGGGTAGAGTGCCATTGGCATCACGCTCACAGCAACCTCCAACTCCTGGGCTCGAGCGAGTCTCCTGCCTCAGCCTCCCAAGTAGCTGGGACCACAGGCGCCCGCCACAACTCCTGGCCATTTTTTGGTTGCAGCCATCATTGTTGTTTGGTGGGCCTGGGCTGGGGATTAGAACCCGCCACCTTAGGTGTATGTGGCTGGCACCCTAGCCACTTGAGCCATAAGCGCCGAGCCAACTTCCTTAATTTCTAAACCTCATCGTATCATGTAAAAATAAAAAAATGATACCCTTTTCATAGGATTGTTATGAGCCTTTTTTGTAAAAGTGCTTTGTAAAGCATCATACAAATGTTTTATTATTAACTTGTAAGAATCACTGCCTCTTTTCTATCTAGTTTTCATTAATTGAGCTGGAATTTGCTTACAGTGAAATGTATAGGTCTTCAGTGTGCAGTTTGATCGTTCTGACAAATGTGTGCACCCATGTAAGCTACTCTCCATCGAGATTCTCAGTGTTTTGATCTTCCACCCCTGCAATCACTATTCTGATTTCTTTCGCCATAGCTTATTTTGCTTGTCTAACAATTTTATATGTTCTTCAAACTTTAGTGACCATCATTTTCATCACCATCAATATTAATTGCTAATTAATACCTGTTAATAGTCAGTTAATTAACCTGACCTGTTTTAAAAAGTGACCTGTTTTTCTCACTTGCTCGGAATCCTCTCCCAGCTTCCTGTCTGTCTTCCAGTAAAAGCCCAAGTCTTCCCACTGGCATACAAGGCCCACGTGCTCTGGCCACTGTTGTCTCTGTGACCTCAGCTCCTGCTGTTCTCCTGCTCACTCTGCCCCCACACAGCCACTTTGCTCTTCCTCAAAAAGATATCAGGGTTTAGGCTTTGCTCTGGCTGTTTCCCCGGGCAGGAATGCTTATTTCTCAGACTCCTCCATCCTTGCTCAAATGTCATCTCAACAAAGCTTCTGCTGATCACCCTGTCTTCAGAGAGCCCACTCTTGTTCCCCTCATCTTACTCTGTTTTCATGTGCACTTATCCCTTCTACCATGCTGTATACTGTACTCATTATTGTATTTATCATCTGTCTGCCCCTCTGTAGAAGGTAGCCTTAAGGGCAGGGGTTTTTTTTTTTTTTTTTTGAGACAGAGCCTCAAGCTCTCCCCCTGGGTAGCGTGCCGTGGCATTACAGCTCACAGCAACCTCCAACTCCTGGGCTCAAGCGAGTCTCCTGCCTCTGCCTCCCAAGTAGCTGGGACCACAGGCGCCCGCCACAACGCCCGGCTATTTTTTGGTTGCAGCCGTCATTGTTGTTTGGCGGGTCCGGGCTGGGGATTCGAACCCGCCACCTTAGGTGTACGTGGCTGGCGCCTTAGCCGGTTGAGCTATAGGCGCCGAGCCAAGGGCAGGGGTTTTATCTCTTTTATTACTGTTGAATATGAAACTCTCGATATGGGGCCTGGCCTATACAAAGCTCCTCAGTAATTACAGAAACAAATGGATGAATGCCAGGCATTATGCTAAGTGCCTATTCATTATTATCTCAGTTCATCCTCCCAGCAACTCTGTGAAGTAGGTATTAATATTATTCCCCTTTCACATATAAGGAAACTGAGGCTCAAAGAGGTGAAGTAACTTGCCAAAGTGGGAGATTCAGATCCAGGTGTGGTTGTTTCTAAGGCTTTATTGCCTACTTGAGAAAATACAAAAGATGCTTTTCTGTCTTTCTTCCCTCACTTTTTTATTTATTTACTTTTTTGAGATAGAGTCTCACTTTGTTGCCTTCAGTAAAGTGCTGTGGTGTCACAGCTCACAGCAATCTCAAATTCTTAGGCTTAAGAGATTCTCTTGCAGGCTGAGCACAGTGGCTCATGCCTATAATCCTAGCACTCTAGGAGGCCGAGGACAGTGGATTGCCTGAGCTCACAGTTTCAAGACCAGCCTGAGCCAGAGTGAGACCTCATCTCTAAAAACAGCTGGACATTGTGGTGGGTGCCTGTAGTCCCAACTACTTGGGAGGCTGAGGTAAGAATCGCTTGAACCCAAGAGTTGGAGGTTGCTGTGAGCTGTGAGGCCAGAGCACTTTACTGAGGGCAAAAAAGTGAGACTGTCTCAAAAAAAGAAAAAAACAAAAAAAAAGATTCTCTTACCTACCAAGTAGCTGGGACTATAGGTGCTGGCCACAATGCCCAGCGATTTTTTTTTTTTTTTGTAGGTTTTGGCTGGGGCTGGGTTTGAACCCACTACCTCCGGCTTATAGGGCCAGCACCCTACTCCTTTAAGCCACAGTGCTGTCCACGCCCAGCTATTTTTAAAGATGGGCTCAGGCTGGTCTTGAACCTATAAGCTCGGGTATTCTACCCACCTCAGCCTCCCAGAGTTCTGGGATTACAGGCATAAGACACCTTGCCCAGCCCTTTTTTTTTTTTTTAAATAATATTTTTTCTGAGATCAGGCCTTGTTCTGTTGCTCAGGCTGGAGTGCAGTGGAGTGATCATAGCCCACTATAGCCTTAATGTCCTGGGTTCAAGTAGTCCTCCTGCCTTTGCCTTCTGACTAGCTGAAACTACAGGTACATGACACCATGCCTAGCTCAGTTTTCTTTTTTTTTTTTTTTGAGACAATGTCTCACTTTGTTGCCCTCAGTAGAGTGCTGTGGTATCACAACTCATAGCAATCTCAAATTTTTGGGCTCAAACAATTCTTTCACTGCAGCCTCCCAAGTAGCTGGGACTACAGGTGCTCACCACGACACCCGGCTATTTTCAGAGACAGGGATCTGGCTCTTGCTCAGGCTGATCTCAAACAGGTGAACTCAGGCAGTCCACCTGCCTTGGCCTACCAGATGCTAGGATTACAAGCGTGAGCCACCAGGCCCGGCCCATGCCTAGCTAATTTAAAAAATTTTTTTCTTTGTGGAGATTAGTTTCACTATGTTGTCCAGGTTCATCTCAAACTTTTGGGTTCAAGGGATTCTCCCACCTCGGCTTCCCAAAGTGCTGAGATTGCAGACATGAGCCACCTTGCCCAGCCATAAGTATTTTACACCCAAAGAACAAAATAAGATGTTGACTCAAAAACTAAATAACTGCATCTTGGGTTATTTTGGCAAACTTTTGCAGAAAACCATCACAGATGAATAGATATACATTTAGGCAAGTATAGTAAATGTTAATTATAGAAGCTAGGTACTGGGCATGTAGCTGTTCACTATTCAATTCTGTTAGCTATTCTGTATGCTTGAAAATTGTTTTAGCAAAATATTGGGGGTTGTAGAACAAGAATATATCTGTTTAAACTCTGCTCTGGGAGAATTTGATTAATTTAAGTAGTCTGTTTTCTCCTGTCCATTAATATTCATAATGTATTTCTAAAATTTAAAAAATATAGCTAAGGATTTGGGTACTCTTAAATGTTTTTTCTTTACTTTCAGTTTTTCTTTAACATCAGCACTGATGACCAAGAAGGCCTGTACAGTCTTTATTTTCATAAATGCTCTGGAAATGAATTGTGGCCTAGTGACAAGTTTTCATTCAGCCTTGATGTGAGTACTGTATGGAAACTATTCTACATGGTTTTTGTCAGTATAAAATCTGAGACATCTATTGACCTGTAAGAATTAATTTTTAGAGCACTAAAGTAAGAGAAAAATGTGGTCAGACACACATTCCTGCCATTGGGCAGGATGGTTCAGCAGAAGATTCGTAAATAAGAAAACATAAAGCAATTTAGGTTGAGTTTTCACACTTCAACCTATGTATTAAGAATGTGATTATGTCTAGGAGCCTGAAACAGGTGAAATGCCTGAGCTCAGGAGTTCACGACCAGCCTGAGCAAGAGTGAGACCTCCATCTCTACTAAAAAAGGGTAAACTAGCCAGGTGTTGTGGCTTGGTGCCTGTAGTCTCAGCTACTCAGGAGGCTAAGGCAAGAAAATCACTTGAGACCAAGAGTCTGAGGTTGCTGTGAGCTATGATGCCACGGCACTCAACCCCAGGGTAACAAAGTGAGACTCTGTCTCAAAAAAAAAAGAAAAGAACATAATGGTTATCTGCTGGTATTCCCTCACCCTTTCCCCTTCCTTTTTTTTGAGACAGTATCTTGCTCTGTTCCCCAGGTTGAAGTACAGTGGCATGATCATAGCTCACTGAACCTTTAACTCATGGGCTCAGGTGATCATCCTGCCTCTGCTCTGGAATAGCTGAGACTACAGATGTGCACCACCAGGCCTGGCTAAGTTTTAAATATTTTTTTGTAAATATGGGATCTTGTTATGTTGCTTAGGATGGTCTTGAACACATGGCCTCAAAGAGATCATCCCTCCTTCGTCTCCCAGAGGGATTATAGGCATGAGCCATCATGCCTGGCCTCAGTTTATTAGCCTTAAGTGAAATATCTGAGATTCCAAATTGCAGATTAAGGGACAGTCTGCTCCTAAAAGTAAAAATTAATTTCATGTTGGTTTTTTCAGATTGACATCACAGAGAAGAATCCTGACAGCTACCTCTCAGCAGGAGAAATTCCTCTCCCCAAATTATACATTTCTATGGCTTTTTTCTTCTTCGTTTCTGGGACCATCTGGATTCATATCCTTCGAAAACGACGGTAAACTATTACTTCCTCGAGCCCTACAATTTAGAGTGTGTTCAGATTTGAATTGTGTGTATATTTTCAACTTGAGAGGAATTGGCCCTAAGCAATCCCATTCTCTTCCTATCCTCTTCCAAGGGCATCCTCCCTGGAACTAGGAAAACTACACAGGAGCCTTACTTTTGGGGAGGCCTTTGCAAATCTTGGTGTTTATTCATTTCCCTTTTTTAAACAAATCTAAACATTTCAGTTATATACAGGCAAAAGAAGCTGTTTCCATATAAGAAGCCCCCATAGTCCTGACTGGAGCAAGCACATTGGTCCCATTCAAGGGCTGTTTATTTCTGAGAGAAAGTTAGTGAGCTTGACCCACTGCCTCACAAGAGCATCAAATCACTGCTTAATTCTAAAGGCATCAGCTCAAAGCCTGGCAGGGATAGTCTCTGTATTGACCTCCAGATGCTGGTCCCTGCAGAAAACGGTGTCAGAGCCTATCTGCCTGGCTTTTGGCCTTTTTTCTGAAATCCCTGAAGCTTTAACTTCTTGTTCATAGTTCCTGAGGGAGCAGCTGTGTATGTGTGAATCCTGTGTCTCTCTGGGAGAAAATTGAAAACAAAACATTAATGTTCAGTTAGAGAATAGTGTAAAGCATTTGCTATAAGGCCCATAAACTGGTAAATGATGGTACATGAATATGGTATTATAATATAGGTTGATTTAAATTTAAAAAAATAATTAAGCACCCTCAAATAACCTTTTTCTCGGAAGCACTAGGGCAGAAATTGAAACCTCTTTAATTCCTGGTGGCCTGATTGTCTTCTAATGGACATGCTCAGAGTTGTGTGTATTGGGCTCTGTCTGGGTACAGTGCCGGCACTTGTTTGTCGTAATAGCCCACATACCCACCAGATGGAAAGAGTTTCTTGTTTACTTTTGAAGGATGTGTATAATCACATTGAGGCTAGGTTATCAGTCTGCCATTACTAAGAAAGATGGTATCCTACAAATTTAGGCCATAAAATGTTTTGGTTTTTTTAAAAGAAAGTTTTACTTCTGCCTTTACTGGAAAAGTAAGACCTGATATCAAGTGTAAACTCTGATGGCTGCGACTGCCTGTGGGCTTTGCTTCACTCTAAGGCTGTTTTTTTCCTGGCTACAGAACTGGACAGTAATAATTGTTTTGCCTTCCTCCAGGAGTCTTGGATTCTTAGATTTGTTATGTGATCCTCCCAAAATAATGTATACGAGAGAGCTTTGCGAGTCAGATTGTTACGCAAATATGAGGCGCTTATAAAGTAGTTTTAGGAGCCAGATATTCAGTGGTTATTTCCTTTAGTTTGAGATGGCAATAGTCATCATCACTCAGTCACTTATATAAAATTGTGGTAACAGTTTTTAAATCTGGCTAAATGAAGCTGACCTACTTTGCACAAGTCTCATCTCTAACTGTTGTTGGAATATAGAGTATATACAGGAATGTGTCATTTGAGCCCCTCCCCCTGTATTTTCCCAGGAGTCTCACAACCAGTTCAGGTAGGTTAGAAAGCAAAGTAACATGAAGGTGTGTGACTCCATGGCTGACAGGCACATTTCACAGCCCCTTAGAGCTGGAAGGAGCTGAGAGATCTTTGCTTCATTTAGTGAAGCCCAGAGCTAGAATCAGAACCCAGGCCTCAGCTCCAAGTGTAGAGAGCACTAGTATTTGAGCCTGGTCATTGTGGCTTCAGAGCTTTGTTCTCTCTGTCACATCACTGCCCCAGCGTCGATGTTTTAACTATGGACTGCAAGTCGAGCTTGCTAGGGCATGTGAGTGAGCACAGGTGATTTTTCCTCCGTAAACCTATTGGCCCTTCAGTAGTGACAGACTGCTCTGGCCTTCACTTCCTTTTTGACCTTCAAGTAGGTGGGCACTGGATTAGGAAGGTGAAGAGGAGGAAATGGATGTGCATCAGTTGGTGGCATGCCCTCACTGTCATTCTGTGCAAGGCCCTACTCCTGCTGTTTTTCCCCCTTCACTTCCTGTCCTCTTTTCCACTGCTTTCCAACCACAGGTAGCCACTCAAATGTGTTTAACATGCATTTTTGGATAGTTGTGTATACTTATAAATAAGTAATGTTTGTTGGTGTTGCATTTATTATAAATATACAATAGAATCCTGTAAGTTGCTACCCAGGGGACTGTAACATACTGGTCAACATACAGAGGTGGTCAACATAAGGAACTAGGCCTCTTGTACTGATACATATGTACATGTGGTACATCTGGTCTATGAAAATGAGGTCAGCTTAAAGAGGTGGTCAGTGCAGGGAAGTGGTCAGCTACAGAGGTTGTACTGTATGTAAACTATATCATCTAGGCCAGATGTGGTGGCTCACGCCTGTAATACTAGCACTCTGGGAGACTGAAGCAGGTGGACTGCCTGAGCTCATGGGTTCAAGACCAGCCTGAGCCAGAGTGAGATCCTGTCTCTAAAAATAGCCAGGCATTGTGATGGTACCTATAGTCCCGGCTACTCGGGAGGCTGAGGCAAGAGAATCTCTTGTGCCCAAGAGTTTGTGGTTGCTGATGATGCCAGGGCACTCTACCAAGGGTGACAAAGTAAGACTCTATCTTTAAAAAAAAAAAAAAAGGGCAAAATCTATGTCATCTATAGAAACTGTTCTTATACATTTTCCACTCAGGAATACATTTTTGAAGGTCCAGCCACCTGGCCATGTGTGCACCTAATTCATTGATTTTTATCTGCTCCACAGCATTCCATGCCCTGCATCCCCACATTTTACTGCTGGGTCCCTTTAGTGATGGGTACATACCTAGGCTGCCCCCATCCCCCTGCTACCCTAGTAGTGCTGTCATGAACCTCCCTTCTGCCTCCTGAGATCCCCTATGGGTCTGTGCAGCCTGTGAGCTCCAGTCCCAGAAGGAGGCATGCTGGGTCATGGGTAGACTCTGGTTTAATTTCATTAAAGTGCTTCCAGATTGCTCACCAGTGTGGCTGTACCAGTTTATACTTCTACCAGGGTGCATGAGGGTCCTGTTTCCCCATTTACTCCCCAGTACTGACATCTTAATTTTTGCTGGTCTAATTTACTGGGCACCTTGTTTTATTTTGCATTTTCCTGAATATCAGTGGTGTGGATTATCATTCCAGGAGCTCATTAAACATTTGAGTTTTCTCTCTTGTTACTGTCTGTCTTCTTTGCATATTTTTCTATTGAGTTTTCTTTTTCTTGTTTTGCTTGAGTTTTTTGCATATTCTGAATATCAATCCTTTGTCTTAACACATTGCAAATCTTTTCTTCCAGTTTGTCAAACTTGTCTGTCGTATTCATTGTTGAATAAAAGTCTTTCATTTTAATGGAATCAAAGCTGTGTGTGTAATTTTAGTCTTTGGGGCAGTGCCTTTTTTTTTTTTTTCTTATTGAGACAGATTTTACTCCATTACCTTTTGGGTAAGTGCCATGATGTCATCATAACTCACAGCAACCTCAAACTCTTGGGCTCAAGCCATCCTTATGCTTCGTCCTCTGGAGTAGCTGGGACTACAGGTACTGTTGTGCCCACCCCGGGGGTCGCCTACCCAAAGACCACTCACAATCACAAATCGATGCAAAAAGCAAGAGGCAGGTTTATTGCTGGCGCGTCAGGGTTCCTCAGCCACAAGGGGGAAGGAACCCCGAGAGGCTGTTACA